AGTCTTCCCAGTGCTCATATTAGATGTGGCTGTTGAGGACAGAACACCAGAGAGCCACAGCCACCAGTTGAAAAAGCAGCCTGTGTATTCCACCAGAGATCTTAGACATGAAGCTGGATAGAGTATCTGGATGAGATTCTGGTTGATTCTCTTTGGGAAACAAATACATTTTTCATATGGGCATGAACATTTTTCAGTGTATGTACAGGAAGGACAAGTATACCTAACAGTAGGATACTTCACTTCTCCTCCCTTCTTCCTTGCTGTGGAGCCCCAATTTTGTTTCTCCAGCACATGACTAAGTCATTTGTGGTAATCCCACAATCCACACTATTGGGATCCCCAACCCCACAGTGGCCATTATGGCCAACAATATGGTTTACGAAGGGGTATATAACTAATCTAGCCATTTAGGCCACGCATGAGATATCTGCTCAGGGATTCTGGGAAAGGTCTCCTTATTGATAAACAGAAACATAGAATAAATTACTGCAGCTACCTTTAGCAGTAGCCATCCTGGAAGACCAAACCAATATCCCAAGGAAAGTGAAAGCAGAAGGATGGAGAAACCTGGTTCCTCAGTGTTACCACTGAGCTCCTGAGTTAACCAACCCAGAAGCCTCCAAACTCTTGACTTTTTGTTTTGTGTTATTTAATAATTTTCAGTTAGGTTTTTCTGTTTGCTTCTTGCAATTGAAAGCATTCTTATTCTAATTGCTATTATGTCTGGGAGTGTAGAATTTGATCATAAGGCTGGTGAAATAAAGAAGAGGTGAGACCACATAGGGCCTCAACTCCATTTGAAAAGACTAAAAAAACCACTGAAGGCTTGACATAATTAGACCGACACTCCTGTTGCATTGGGGAGAACAGATTGGAAGCGGACAAGTTGAAAGCAGAGAATAAGAACAGTGACCTTTAGACAAAACTTGGGAGAACTCCAATCTTTGAAAAAGTCTCTGGAGCAACCCAAAGGGAACATTAGGAAATTATTTTTTACATGGTAAAAGGGGGAAAATATTACAGAAGCAGGAGGATAGGAGAGTTGGGCACTCCAGATTGGGCAAAACTGAAGGCAATAGAGGGTTTAGAAGAAAAGTGAGTTATGAAAGGTTATCAATTGATCAAGAGGTCCAGGAAGAGAAGGAAGGATGGGATTCAGCGATATGGAAATTGGTTACTCTTAGTGACCTTTGCAACAACAACTTCAGGGTAATAAGTCAAATGCAATACTACAGCGGGTTAAAGAATAAATGGAAAGTGAGGAAGGCAGCAAGTTTACAGGTTAAGGACAGTGACAATAGCATCACAGGTCCTTCCTTAATAAACAATGTTGAGTTAATGATTTGGTGTGGAGAGGCCAAGTACTGAGAGCCATGTCCTATTCAGGAGCTGATGACTAGATTATGTTAGGGCTACAGAGAGTCAAGACGTAATATAGGGACAGATCATGCTGGTCCTTGTAAACCCTGTTCAGAAGTTTGCATATTCCTGGTAAGAAATCATGGTAACTTAAACTAAGGTAGAAACATGAAGATGAATGACACATTAAAAGCTTTTGAGGAGGTAAATTACCTGGGCTGCATGATTGATGGGATGTGGATCTCAGATGTGACTGAGCCATGGAAATAGATGAGATTCTCAAAGGAGCATGTGCAGTGGGAAGAAAGCCAAGAATGGAATCTTAAGAAATACCAGGATATAAGGCAGAGCTCCCCAACTAATGTACTATGAATGGGTTATGGCTGTGCCCAAAATACTGATCCCTTTCGTCTAAATGGATGGTGAGAGTCACTGGCTGGTCACACGCAGCAGTAAGCAACTTCACTGGTTAACCCCAGTGTGTCTCTGGAGGGCAGACATTATATTCTGTCAACTTTGTACTACAAGTTCCATGACTATGTGGAGCCATCCTTGATACCTTACCCAATACATGTTGGTTAAATGAATAAATGTAGAGCAACATTGAGGGACAAACTTAAAATGATAGGTTGGGGCCAGATCAGTTATTCTTAAACTTCCAAGTGTACATTAAGATTACCTAGTGCTTTTCAAACTTGAATGTCTATATTATTCTGATTCATTAGGTCTGGAGCAGGGTCTGGAGTTCTATTTTTCTAAAATGTTTCCAGTGATGCTGATGCTAATTTGGGACCACTCTGAGTAGCAAGAAATAAACAATACTAGTTAAAAATACAACCTGTACAGCTTTCCCATGAGAGAGAAATTCAGTAGGTATGGGGTGGAGCCAAAGAATTCGCATTTTAAGAAAAACATCAGCTGGGTGCAATGGCTCACGCCTGTAATCCCACCACTTTGGGAAGCCAAGGAGGGGTGGATCCCTTGAGCCCAGGAGTTGGACACCAGACAGGGAAACATGGTGAAAACCCCTTTCTACAAAAAATACACACATCTATTAGCCAGGTATGGTGCAGGCCTGTGGTCCCAGCAACTCGGCAGGCTGAAATGAGAGGACTGCTTGAGCCCTGGGAGGTGACACTTGCTGTGAGCCAAGATTGTGCCACTGCACTCTAGACTGGGTAACAGAGCAAGACACTATCTCAAAACAAACAAACAAAAAAACAAGAACAACATTAACTCTGCAATAGTCGGCCTAGGAACCCAGTTTGATGGAGAAATTTGAACGTTAAGCTAAGGATTCTGGACTTTATCCTACAGGTAGCAAGAAAGGCATTGAGGTTTTCCATATACAAATACTACGTATTCCCAAGGGATATTTTTAATTTATTTATTTATTTATTTATTTATTGAGACAGGGTCAAAGAGAGAAGAGAACAGAAAAAACGAGAGAAAAATAAAGGAAGGCCAGGAGTTGGCAAGCAAAGACACACTCAAGAGTGCTTCTCTTTGCTTCCTTGCCCTCTGAACTGTTCAATAAATAGTGAAGAACACAAAGCTAACTGCAGTATTTATTTCAGACCTGCTGCTGCTCTCCAATTTAAAAGCAATACAGGTTCCATTAAATTTGTCACAGTTGAAACTGGTAAAGGTAGACCTCTACAGGTGCTTCTCGACTTACAATGGGTTTATTGGGAGGGGAAATTATCGTAAGTCAAAATGCCTTCAATACACCTAACCTACTGAGCATCAGAGCTTAGACTAACCTACCTTAAACGTACTCAGAAGACTTACACTAATCTACATTTGAGCAAAATCATCTAACATAAATTATTTTTTATTATAGAGGGTTGAATACCTCATGTAATTTATGGGAACAACGTCCTAAACATGAAAAACAGGATAGTTGTATGGGGACTCAAAGTTCGCTTTCTTCTGAATGTGCATCACCTTTGGAACCATCATAAAGTCAAAAAATTTTAAGTCAAACCATCCTAAGCCCCGGACCGTCTGTATATGAAGTGCTCCCTAAGGGGCACTATGCCAGATACTATGCCTAAGTGTTTTCCAACTTCCTGTACCACATTCAAAAGGAGCATCTTCATAAAGATGTTACTGACATCATGGAAAATATTAGTCCTTCCTTTCTTTGCAGCTGACAGGATTTTTAAAAGAAGCTCTAAACCACAAGCGTATTCCAGCAGCTGTTTGTTCTTCCTGGTGTGAGTTACTTCCTCCCTCTGCCACTATCGCTTGTATTCTGGTTTGAGGAAATATTAAGCAGCACAGTAAATCGATCTGTTTTCAGAAATTGCTTAGTCCTGGAATTAATACATTTTACAAAGCAGGTTTGCTTTAGCTCCTTAAGATTTGGTTACTTAGAATAAAATCTTCCCAACTTAATAGCCAATTTGCATACATGTATAAATACATGAACTTTAAAAGCACCTTCAGGATTAAGAGGGTTTTGTTATCTGTTTTTACAGAATGTAAAGCTGATTACCTCAGCAAGTTTTAGAGCAATTTTAAGAATAGTAATAACACAAGAATCTTAAGATAATACATTCTTTAGAACCAAGAATCTAAGGATAATACATTCTTTAGAACCAAATGTGTAAATGGTTAAATAAAGGATGTTTTAACAACATGGTCTCAACTGTGGAGGTATCATCATCTTTCAAAGCTACCTGCAAAAAAGGGACAATGTCCTCACTGGCTAGTAAAAATCAGAAAAATTTAAGAAATTCTCAGCAAATTTCTTATCTTTTAAAATACCCATGGTCATCCCCTAAGAGGGTAAATCCACGTGTCATTAATAAGCAAGTAAGTGAGTTCATAAGCCATACTAACCTCCAGGATTTTTAATTTCTTGGTAGGGATAATGGACATTAAAAGGAAGCTGATACTTTCCTATTAATAAGGAGATTTATTTACAACAAATTTCTACTTCAAAACACTTCCAAGCATATAACAAATACCATCCTTAAAAGAGGGATTCCCTATTTGATTGTCTCAGTTTATTAGAATATGGATGGTCTTTTCATTCTAAATAACATGTCCTTTGTTTGCTTGTTTTTGTATAGGAATTATCCTGGAATCTGATAACGCTGGGACCCTACTGATGGCTAGGCACTGCGTATCTTCGTTATGTGCCATTTCCATTCATTCCTTAAAATATTATGAAACATTGTTACAAACAAAAGAATATCATGTATAATTATAATATGGATAACACATATTATAGTATAATATATACAACATATAATAACATAAAAGCATGACGAAATGACCACCTGTGAACCTGCCGTCCAACTTGAGGAACAGAATGTAGTACTGTCGAAGCCCCTGGGTGTCCCTCCTCAATTACTCTGCCTTCCTGAAATACCGTGTTATGTTGATCATTTTCTTTATAGTTTTATCACCTTTAGAGCTAACAAAGTATATTCAAAATTTGGTTTTTGAATTTTATAAAATTCTATTATATTGCATGCATTCTGCTGCAACTTATTGTCTTTAGGACACCGTGAAGATATCGACAGAGTGTTTTGAAATTCATCTAAGTATCTACACTCTAAAAGTGAATATCTGACAGAAATAATCTCAATCAATGAATTTTATAAACCCCGGCAATTAACACTTACCTGCTTCATTGTCAATCGGGAACTCTCAGTTTCCCCTCTTTTATCCACTGGATCAGCACTGCAATCTCATTTTAAAGGGGTTGTTCATATTCTGTGGCTAACTGCTTATCAAATTCCATATCCCAAAGTGAAGGTGATGTGTCTATATAATAAGACATTTTAAATAAGAACAAGTCAATGTAAATATCTTTTTAAAAAATGTTATAACCAATCCTGGATTGATCGTGTATTTTTCATAACTTGACACTCATAATTACAGTATATAACAAAAAGTTACTCACTGAGAGATAACAGCAACAAAAATTATAGTAAAGATTATAACTAGGCTGGGCACAGTGGCTCACACCTGTAATCCCAGCACTTTGGGAAGCCAAGGTGGGGAGATCAGGAGTTCAATACCAGCCTGACCAACATGGTGAAACCCCATCTCTACTAAAAATACAAAAAATTAGCTGGGCACAGTGGTGCGCACCTGTAATCCCAGCTTCTTGGGAGGCTGAGGCAGGATAATTGCTTGAACCCGGGAGGCGGAGGTTACAGTAAGCCAAGATCGGGCCACTGCACTCCGGCCTGGGTGACAGAGCGACACTCTGTCTCAAAATAAATACATACATACATACATACATACATATACACACACATACTACAACTATAATAATGGCAAGCTTAACTTTGGTTTTACCACAATGTCAGGTAATCACTACCCCTTCTACTGGAAAAAAATAAATAAATTTGTATTTTGTTTAAAGGTATTTTTATGAATATGAATATTTTTATACAATATGTGACTTTGATTTTTAAAATCTAGGCTGTTTACTTTTTACTCTATCAAAATTAGTCACTAATGTACTACTGTTCACAACCAAAGAAGTTAGATCAACAGAATAACAATAAAACTGCTAATGAACACTGAGTACTTCCTCTTTGCTTAAATGTTTTTTATGCATTAGTACATTTAATCCTCACAATCAACCCTATGAGTTGGCTAATTACCACCATCACATTACGTTTCAATAACTTTTTTACTTTTGAAATTTCAGATCATCTTCTGAGAATGAGCCATATTCCCACCAGTTACTGCTGCTGGGAACATAAAATGGTACAAACATCTTGGAAAACAGCTTGATGGCTTCTTAAAAAGTTAAAAATACATCTATTATTCATCATAGTTATTTCATTCCTGGATATTTACCCAAGAGATAATACATGTCCATACAAAGACTTGTACACGAAAGTTCATGGCAGCTGTCTCTGTAACAGCCAAACGTGGGTTGTAATTTGGGAAACAATCCAAATATCCACTAACAGGTGAATAGGTACAAAAATGTAATACATCGGCAGGGCACGGTGGCTCGCAGCTGTAATCCCAGCACTTTGGGAGGCCGAGGGATAGTGAGGTCAAGACGGATCATGAGGTCAAGAGCTCAAGAACAGCCTGACCAACATGGCGACACCCCGTCTCTACTAAACATACAAAAATTAGCTGGGCATGATATGGCAGCTACTCAGAGACTGAGGCAGGAGAAATGCTTCAACCAGGACCCAGGAGGCGAAGGTTGCAGTAAGCCGAGATCGCGCCGCTGCACCCCAGCCTGAGCTACAGAGCGAGACTCGTCTCAAAAAAAAAAAAAAGTAATACAGCCATACAACTGTATACTATTCAGTAATAAAAATGCATTAGTAGTATATGGAACAACATGGGTGAATCTCAACTCATTAGCTGAGTGAAAGAAGCCAGACGCAAAAGAGTTCATACTGTGTGATTTCATTTATGTACAATTCTAAGAGATGCAACCTAATCTATTTTAACAGAAAGCAAATCAATGGTTGCCGGCATTGTGTGCCTGTGTGTGTGTGTGTGTGTGTGTGTGTGTGTGTGTGTGTACTGTAAAAGGATATAAGGAAACTTTTAAGGGTTATGAAAATGTTCACAATTGAAAGTGGCAGTTTCATGGGTGTATCTATTTGTTAAAACTAGTCGAGTTACATACTTTAAATGTGTGCAGTTTGTTGCACACAAATAACTTAATAAAGTTGTAAAAGGAAAACGAATATCAATATCTATCCCTTGGCTACTTTTTTCCCTAATTGTTGGTCCTTAATTAATTTTTCAAACATTTTTTATCTTTCTGGGCTAGAGGTATACATTGCATATGATTTATCCTCCAGTCTACCTGTTTATACACTTTTGTCAAGCCCCCTAAAGCATGTCAACAAATGGCTAGCTCATTTACTCTTCCACGTGGGTAAGCCTTATTTTATCTATTTGCTTTTTCTGAATCTGTTTCTATAAGCCTTTGTGTGCAGAGATGTGTCTAACCACATGCTGACTAGTAGATATTAAGTATTTTGGCCTAGATCATCTGATACTGAGTAACTATTACAATTGTTAGCCACATTTACAGAGCAATCACATCAATAATATAACTATCTCAGTTATCTTTTACTTGGTGGACATTGACCGACCTATGTCTTTTCTATCATCATTAGGATCATCATGTTTTTACACTTGCTAATAGTTGCAAACATTTATTAAATGTGTACTATGTTCCAGGCACTGTGCCTCACACTTCTCAGATGACCTCATTTAATCCTGGAGATGTATGTACCAACCTTTATTTTACAGTTGGGGAAACGTAAGTGCAGCAGAATCGGAATTTGAATCCAGTTCTATACAACACCAACACTCTTTCTGTTAAGCTATACTGCCTGTCGACTCTAGGATAACCAGTAGGGCCTATGACTATATCCTTTGTAGCAGTGTAAGAATTTAGTGGGGAACAAGACGTGGGAATCATGGAACAGAATAACTCATTCAATTGGTCAATAAAAAAATTACTGAATGCCAACTATATTTCCAGCATTCTTTGGGATGGCAATATAACAACAGTGAACAACTGCTAAATTTAAGTTTCCATATTTTGCTATTCTTGTACTTAACTGGAAACAAAATCATTCTTTAGACTCATGAAAGTATAGCACAAACAGTACCTTCATTAGAGTAAATTATTACATAAATTTGTGTGCTACTTTCCTCACTACAGTATAATCATTTGATACTGTTTTATAAAATACATAAAATTTCAATGCCTCCTTGCCAACTAATTTCAGTTTTAGAAATAAGATTATTTTAAAAAGCAAGCTGGCTCCTTCAAGAATCCAAGTGTCTTGGCTGGACAACAGCAGCTGCCCTGACAAAAAATTCCTTTCTGATGCATACTTAACGGACACGATTTGAGCAGGGGAGAGGTGATTCATTGTCCCTATGCATTTTGCATTTCCTTTTTATCATACACAACAGAATGCAGTTTTTGTAATACAAGGGGGTTGTTCTTTTAGCTTCACCTTCAGTTCTAATGAACAAACGTTAACTGAATTAACTACTTTCCTTTAGAGATGTATATTTTATAGTACAGTTTGTTCAAAAAAGAATTTAAGATTTAAGATAACTAGTTCCTGTGATCTGTAATCCACATGAGTAGATGCTACAGGGTATACAGTCATGAATGAGATCTAGCCTCTAATATAGTTTATTAAATAGGGGGAAAATCAGAAGTTCATATAAGTAACTGCTAGAAAGATTAAGTGAGCCATTAGAGGCTGGCCTAGGAACTTATCTATCACATATAACATTTTTCCCCCCTTTGAGAGGGGATCTCGCTCTGTCACTTAGGCTGGAGTGTTATGGCACAATCGTAGCTCACTGCAGCATCGAATTCGGGGCTCCAGTGATCCTCCCACCTCAACCTCCCAGGTCGCTAGGACTATAGGCATGCACCACCATACCCAGATAATTTTTTTCTATTTTTTAGAGAAAGGATCTCACTATGCTGCTCAGGCTGGTCTTGAACTCCTAATCTCAAGCCACCCTGTTGTCTCAGCCTCCTAAGTCCATATACAACATTATTTCTACCAAAATCCAAAAAACTAACTTCTATTCGTAGAAATGCTTATCACTTACACTCTGGAGAACATCTGTATTGAGTTTCTTCATTTATATTACTAGTAAACCAAATTTAATGTCAAGCAAGAGGACACTCATTTCTCTTTTAGACTTAAAATGGTAAATTTCTTACCCAAAGAAAAGGGGAAGAATAGAGAACAAAGACCAACCATGTGTTAAGAAAAAAACACTACAAGTCTGTTATATTCCTTCAATGTTCTTCCCATCTCCTGAACAATCACTAAATCACTTCAGTAAGTTATTTTATAAATGCTAGCTCCTCTTCTAGATAGCAAGCTGCCTAGGGGCAAGAACCAGTATATCTTTATGTAATAGCATAGAGATACGCTGCAAATGATAGGTGATTAATAATGTTCTAACCCAAATTAATGGCTAATCTGGACCTCTGGATTCATGTAATTGGTAGTACTTACCTCCCATTGTCTCACAGAATGCAACATTTCAAGGGGGAAACCGAACCACAACTAGCAATATCAACAACTGTAGTGTGGTATGTCCCCCACCAGGTTACTGAAGAGTGTATATGTGTTGCTTGAACCCTGAAGGCTCGGCAGGGAGCCAAGACCATAATGCCTAGCTGAGGGGCAGGTGTCCCTGAGAACCCAAATATCCCAGGGCATACCTCAAAACATATCAAGCAAAACAGTCTCATCGTGCACACACAGTAGGCAAATAGCCAGAATATAAGCTTAAAAACAGCTTAGAGATAAGAGGCAGGTTGACTCCAGAGCTGCCTAGAAAAGTCCAGTATGTAAATCCTAGTAAACTCATCTATTCATCAAGCTGGACTTGCCCAAATTATTCTTTGGTCTCTCGATGCCTTCCCAATTTGGGGGACGTTACAGTCCCAAGTTTTCCTTCTAACAACCGCCACATTCATGATTCGAATCCAGGCCAATGACAGGCGGGAATATTAAAATATCCAACTATTACACCATCAGAACACTAAGGACATCCTGAAAAGATGGAATATTGTTCCACCTGAGAAATAGTTATTCTTAACAAACCTATTCAGGTGCTTATCTTTAGTAACTGCTATAATGTTAAAACTATTACGTCTCTTCCCTGTGAATATATTTTTCCATATATATATATATATATATTAATGAATATAAACTGTCAACAAAAATTATGAAAAAAAAATTCAGTGAAATATTATACATAAAAATTAAAAATAATTCCACTGATGCACATCAAACGTCTTAGCTAAACTGCCACATTTTTAGGACTGATAGGCTGAAAACAGAAATGTTCACTTGAAGTTTTGCTTCATAATACAACAAATCAGTTACAGCAATTTAATTTCCAAAATATCTAATTGAAAAGATTAGCTTAATTTGCCATAATTTTTATTTGTTCCCTTTTATATTAAGTTTTAAAAACTCCATGTTGTGAAAAACTATAAAATTATGCTAAAAAGCTGTTAAAGTCAACATTTGTTTTTAAGGGCAGAAAACACTGCAATGTTTAATTACAAATTATAATTATAAAAGAATGCGTAGGTAAATCACAACATTCCCTTTCATAAAGCAATCATTCTGTAAAATAATTAACTTTCTTTACATGACTATTTTTAATGATTGAAATTAATATCAGAGTTAATAGGTAACATTTTCTTGCACACTTGATAATCAACTGCTTTATGCATCAATTTACATATTTACTTGGATATACTTACTGGCAGATTAAAATTCAGTTTATAAACTGGAGGGTTATTTTTAAAAATTTTAACTTCTTTTTTTATAGACTAAATTACTTTTCTCTACTAAACAGAATTAACTGGAAAAAACGGAAATATCATATGAACGTTAAATAATGTGATCTCAAGTCATACAAGTTTTCCTCTAGCAGGTTCCCAAGATACTTGTAAACAAAGGCTTTTCTGCTCCAGAACTTTCCTCAGTCCTTGCATTCTTCTCCCTCAACTGTATGTCCGGTGAACAGGATGGTGGATTAAAGTAAGTCACAGCAGACAGGGAATGCCTTGGTAAACCACTGAACTTCAAGAGAGGAATGTACAACAAAGAAAGGGAATGGACATTTGCTGAGCACCTACTATGTACCAGATAGTTGATACGTGTTTCTTTTCTATTCCTCAAGAAAGCCATTTAAGCTAGGTTTCACTTTCAGCATTTTATAGCTGGGGAAACAGGCTGATGGAGGCTATAAAAGATGCCCTGGTCACAGAATTAGTCAGTGGCAGTGCCAACATTCTGAGGCAGGCCAGTGTGAACTGTCAATTTCCAACAGAAGCAATCAGTCCAGGCCTGGGTTGTCTGGGGTTGATACCCTAGACCCTGCCCGAGTCATAGCAGCGTGAACAACTTGGCATCACACCACTGCTTCCCCTTACTCCCCTTTAGCTGGCTTCTTAACACACTGAAGGCACAGGAACCCCTTTCCTACTTGTTTTAGCTTCTCCTTTGCCACTTAATTTTCAAAATATTAAATATCTAATATTAAAAATCAAATATGCCATCCCGATGTAGTTGCACAGTATTATATGCAATACGAATAAGTTCAATTTTCTCGAGTATTAAGTGACTCAAATATTCTAAAGTAAAACTCCAAGAACACTTTCTACTTTATTCAACAATATCTAACAGATACTAAATCACTTTAAATTAGTAATTCAAATAATATTCCAAAGTCACCATAAACTCTTGAACTTCCTGTGTTAACTGCTGACCACCTTTTCCAACTTTCCTCTATAAATCAGTAATTTAACACCCAGGAGTTAACTCAAGTGCCTGATTTTACTTAAAACAAATCTACGGAATACACAATGTATTGAAAACACTCCAATTGCGAGCATATCCAAGTATAAAGACAGGTTAGGCCAGGTGAGGTGATTCACGCCTGTAATCCCAGCACTTTGGAAGGCCGAGGTGGGCAGATCACTTGAGGTCAGGAGTTACCAGCCTGGCCAACATGGTGAAACCCCATTTCTACTAAAAATACAAAAATCAGCTGGGTGTGGTGGCACGTGCCTATAATCCCAGCTACTGGGGAGGCTGCCAGGGGAATCACTAGAACCCAGGAGGCAGAGGTTGCAGTGAGACGAGATGGCGCCACTGCACTCCAGCCTGGGCGACAGAGTGAGACTGTCTCATAAATAAATAAATAAATTAATTAATTAATAAACAAACAAATAAATAAATAAATAAAAGACAAGTTAATTTTTGTCAGGCCATGCCAAATATCTGGGTCCTCCTTCACAACTACCACTTTCAGGGTTTAAAGGAGAGAAAGAATAGAAACTTTATGTAAATACAGAACAACTTTAGATTCTAAAATAACTATGTAAGACATGGCTCGGCATCTTTAAGAACTTCAAATCAGTAATTTCAAATGGCCACAAATAATCTACCATTTTAAGGTATAGGGTGCAGTGGCATGATCTTGGCTCACTGCAACCTCCGCCTCCCAGATTCAAGCAATTCTCCTGCCTCAGCCTCCTGAGTCCCTGGGATTGCAGGCGCTCACCACCACATCTGGCTAATTTTTGTATTTTTAGCAGAGAAGGGATTTCACCATGTTAGCCAGGCTGGTCTCGAACTCCTGACCTCATGATCTGCCTGCCTCGGCCCTCTAAATTGCTGGGATTACAGGTGTGAGCCACCACGCCGGGCCTACGCCTTTCTTTCTTTTCGTTGATGGTGGGTCATTTCTAAGGTGTAACAAAAGATAAGCATGTACAGAGATATAAAGGGTAAATGAATACACGGTATTAGGCATTTATATTTAAAATGAAAAATAATGTTCCTCACAAAATATTCGTTTGTTCAGAATTCAGTCAGCTCTACTTATTCTTTGTTTTGTTTTGTTTTGTTTTGTTTTGAGACGGAGTCTCGCTCTGTCGCCCAGGCTGGAGTGCAGTGGCCGGATCTCAGCTCACTGCAAGCTCCGCCTCCCGGGTTCCCACCATTCTCCTGCCTCAGCCTCCCGAGTAGCTGGGACTACAGGCGCCCGCCACCTCGCCCGGCTAGTTTTTTGTATTTTTTAGTAGAGACGGGGTTTCACCGTATTAGCCAGGATGGTCTCGATCTCCTGACCTCGTGATCCGCCCGTCTTGGCCTCCCAAAGTGCTGGGATTACAGGCTTGAGCCACCGCGCCCGGCCAGCTCTACTTATTCTAAATCAAAGGACCCCTATTCACTGTGGGTAGATGTGAAGCATGGCCCAGTTTGATTTAAGGTATAGAAAAATGGCTGGCTAAATCCAGCACATGGTTCCCTCTCTAGGAAGTGGTATACAGAGAGTAAGAACACAGATGTAAATGCGTTCATAATGCTCACAGTATCCAACAGCAATAATACACACACACAATAAGGTAAATCTACAGTTAAGGTAAAACCAAACTACACAAACAAAACCCAGCAGACTACAAAGCCTGATACCTGTTTCTAAGATCAGCGGTCTTCTCCTGGTCAGGATAATTGTCAAAGACTTGGTCAAACTGAATCTGATGCTCTGGTCTTAATATTAACTCTAGTTGTAGCACATCTAGCAATTTTCGTATCTGATATTTTGTTACTGAAACTGAAATAATAAAAAGGTCAAGTGCATTAGAAATCTTAGCTACTGCCGGGCGCGGTGGCTCAAGCCTGTAATCCCAGCGCTTTGGGAGGCTGAGACGGGCGGATCACGAGGTCAGGAGATCGAGACCATTCTGGCTAACCCGGTGAAACCCCGTCTCTACTAAAAAAAAAGAAATACAAAAAACTAGCCGGGCGAGGTGGCGGGCGCCTGTAGTCCCAGCTACTCGGGAAGCTGAGGCTGGAGAATGGCGTAAACCGGGGAGGCGGAGCTTGCAGTGAGCTGAGATCCGGCCACTGCACTCCAGCCTGGGCGACAGAGCGAGACTCCGCCTCAAAAAAAAAAAAAAGAAATCTTAGCTACTGCGGGGCGCAGTGCCTCACACCTGTAATCCCAGCACTTTGGGAGGCCAAGGCAGATTACCAGAGGTTGGGAGTTCAACACCAACCTGGCCAACATGGAGAAACCCCATCTCTACTAAAAGCACAAAATTAGCCAGGCATGGTGGCAGGTGCCTGTAATCCCAGCTACTTGGGAGGCTGAGGCAGGAGAATCACTTGAACCCGGGAGGTGGAGGTTGCAGTAAGCCGAAATTGTGCCTTGCACTCCTTTGTCTCCAAAAAAAAAAAAAAAAAAAAAAGAAACCTTAGCTACAGAACAGTAATAGACTTTCTGAAACAGAAATGTGATATCATTTAATTCTTATTTCATTTTTATCCACTAATTATATAGCGTACAAGGTTATGTTTAAATAAAAAACATTCACATAACACAGAACATTACAATTTTTGTTTATTTGCATCTTTTAAAGATGTTCTTCAGAAATCTTCATTTCAAACATAAAAGTGTCACATGAAAAATTACTCCGAAAAGATGAAAGTACAATCAGTATCTGTATACCTATCACCTACATTCAATAACTAAATTAAAATCAATAGATAGATATATTTATTTATTGCCGTGTATTTGTTCAAACACAAACAAAATGAGTCACTGAACTGACATTCCAGATACCTATGGTTTTTTCTTTTAAATATAATTTCTTTCAGAGATAGGGTCTCACTCTGTTGCCCAGGCTGGAGTGCAGTGGTGCCATCATAACTCAGTGCTGCCTCAAACTCTGGACTTAAGCCATCCTCCTGCCTCAGCCCCCAAAGTAGCTAGAACTACAGGCACATGCCATCATGCCCAGCTAATTTTTTTTATGGTTTGTAAAGATGGGGTCTTGTTTTGTTGCCCAGACTGGTCTCAAATTCCTGGCCTCAAGTGCTCCTCTTATCTCAGCCTCACAAAGTGCTGGGATTACGGGCATGAGCCACGACACGATGCCATTTCTTTTACCTTCCTGAAATACATCTGGTACATATGCTCATTGGGAACAACAGATTTAGATCATTTTCCAAAATGAAGCAGTGCTACCACTTACTACAATGTAGGCAGCAAGGAGTCTAACATAGTATAAAATAATGAGAGATGAAGAGAGTAAGTGGAAAGATGTCAGCTTAAACATAAGAATAAGAGGAAAAAGAGAAGGAAACAGACCTGAAGATTGCCATACTGTGCATAATACCAGCAAGCTATTTAACTGAAAAAAAAAAAAAAGTACTTTTCTCAGAAAAGCTATCTTATTCTGTTATTTGTAATAACGTTACTGAATTTATCATTTCTTTTTTCATGGACAAGAAACTGTAATTTCCTAAAAGGAAAGTAACTATTCAATTGGTCTCTTAAAACTATAATCTTACTTAAGACATAAATTTTTTAAAATCTTGAATTGCTAAAATTCCACTTACATGGTATATTCTATATGTAAATTCCCTTATGTGGTATATATTATATGTATTACTTACTAGCCACATGAAAATGGCCTATTTTGAGATATAAACATTACTGACCTAATGGTTTCATTCACTTACCTAATTTTAGGTCTTTCTCCACCTCTCTGTGCCCGACTCTTCCTCATGCTACGGAGCTGCCTGAGCAGCTCTGGCTTGTTTGTCAAAAGAGGGCAGCAGATGCAGCTGCCACCAACTCAAGACTCAGGGGCTCATTTCTGAAAAAGAAAATGAAAACCAAATGAGAAAGAAAGAAAGAGAGATTGATTATTATGCCATTAGTTTAGTGAAAAGTAAAATGATTTTGGGGGGGAAATTTTCTGTTGATCAAAAAAGTATTCAATTCAATTTCTGACAAAAGTAGGAATTCTCAACTATTAGGTACCAGTTTTAAATAAACTTTGAAATGTTAGCTCAAAACAATACATTAACGTGGAGGGATGCGGGATCAGCCTCAAAAATTATAAATTAGTGGAATTTTCAATTAGATGCTATTGTATTTCAAAAACAATATATACTGCAAGCAAATATTAAGGCAGCTTAACCTGCTCACGGAAGTTTTACTCATAATAGCCCCAAACTGGAACCAATCTAAGGTCTGTTGTTAGAAAGAAAAAACAAACTGTAGGATATCTAAACAATGGAAGAGTACTCAGCTCATGCCAACATGATTGACTCTCATAGACATTAGATCAAGTGAACGAAGGTGGACACAGAATATATTCTGTATGATTCCATTTCTGTCAAGTGCCAGAACAGGCAAAACTAATCTGAGGTGAAAAAACAATCAAAACAGCAATTGCCTCAGGAGAGAAGGCTACTGACTGGGAAGGTGAAAATGGGAAACACAGTGTCTTGGTTAAGTGTGTGGGTCACATGGGCTTATCCATTTGTCAAAATCCTCCAGCTAAGATTTGTACACTTTAATATATGTAAATTTTACCTGAAAAAAAAAAAAGCCATCAATCATTATCAAGTAGGAGATGGAAAGTGGGTGAAGGTATAGATAATACAAGAATGGCAAAATGTTGATCATTGTTGAAGCTGGGTGACAGTATCAAGGGGTTCACTGTACCATTTTGTGTTCTTTGCATATGATTTAAATTTTTCATAAGAAAAAGCTTTTAAAAACTTCCTAAATTAGAGCAAGTTCATACAAAAACATTCTATTATAAAAAGTAAGTAAATTATATATAACATTTTTTCCTTTTTTTTTTTTTTTTTAAGAGATGGGATCTCAATACATCGTGAAGTCTGGCCTCAAAGTCCTGGGTTCATGCAATCCTCCCACATCATCTTCCCGAGTAGCTGGGACTACAGGCATCTGTCACCATACCTGGCTATTTGCAACATTTTTAAACTCACTGAGAACTGCCATCTCAAAATTAATATTTTATTATGCCTGGCTTTCTATATTATGATCTATTACCTAATACGCAAATTAAAGTTCCCAAATTCCTACAGTTCTTGGAAAAAGATTTTAAGGACTTAACTAAGATATGGAAGATCTAAAATCTGATAGGAATGGAAGAAAAATAGAAGAATGAAAAAAGGGGTTGAGCATGGTGGCTCATGCCTGTAATTCCAGCACTCTGGGAGGCCAAGGAGGGAGGACTGCTTGAGCCCTGGAGTTCAAGACCAGCCTGGGCAAGATGGCGAAACCCCATCTCCACAAAAAGAAAAAAAAAAATTAGCCAGGAGTGGTGGCATGCGCCTACAGTCCCAGCTACTTGAGAGGCTGAGTGGGAGGATCACTCGAGCCTGGGAGGTTGAGGCTGTGGTGAGTGATGAGTGTTCCACTACACTCCAGTGTGGGCCACAGAGCAACACCCTGTCCCCCCTCCAAAAAAAAAAAAAAAGAAAAAGAAAAAGAAAAAAGGAAATATAACAGTTAAAATGAAATGTACTTTCAAAACTGTTATCTGTAAATAAAGCTTTAACCTTATTCCACGTCATTGTTACTTCTTTCATAAACCACTTGTAAACTTCATTTCCAAATTTTAACATATGTATTTGATCAGAGTATGCACAGAACATAGATGAATATTCATTTTCTAGAATCATGCATTTCATAACAATGGTTTCCTTCATAGTTATAGTCTCTGGCTTTATAATTTATAATGTTCTAATTAATAAAAATTGTAGGGAGCCTGTGTCATTGAACAAGATAATTTTTACATACAAGGATCTTTCTTCATAGATTTTAACAATGTAAAGAGAACTTGTTAAAGTATCTTTTAGGGCTGTGTGGTGGCTCACGCCTGTAATCCCAGTACTTTGGGAGACCGAGGCGGGTGGATCACCTGATGTCAGGAATTCGAGGCCAGCCTGGTCAACATGGTGAAACCCCGTCTCTACTAAAAACACAAAAAATTAGCCAGGCACGGTGGAGTGCACCTGTAATTCCAGCTACTCGAGAGGCTGAGGAAGGAAAATCGCTTGAACCTAGGAGGCGGAGGTTGCAGTAAGCCGAGATCACACCACTGGACTCCAGCCTGGGCAAAAAAAGAGCAAAACTCCATTTCAAAAACAAAAAAGTATCTTTTCACAATCTATTCAATCCTGTAATTAAGACTATTTCATGAATACATACTTTTCTCCTTCATAACTTTTTTTTTTTTTTTGAGACAGGGTCTCACTCTGTTGCCCATGCTAGAGAGCACTGGCACAATCTCAGCTCACGGCAATGTCCACCTCCCAGGTTCAAGCGATTCTCCCACCCTCAGCCTCCCGAGTAACTGGGATTACAGTCACATGCCCCCACACCCAGCTAATTTTTGTATTTTTTTGATAGACATAGGGTTTTACCAGGTTGACCAGGCTGGTCTCAGCTCCTAACCTCAAGTGATCTGCCCTCTTTGGCCTCCCAAAGTGCTGGGATGACAGGCGTGAGCCACCGCTCCAGGCCCCTCGAGAATATTTTTAAATCATCTCTAGATTACTTGTAATACCTAATATAACAAATGCTACATAAGTGGTTGTTATACTGTATTTTTTAATTGGTATTTTTTTCTGTGTGTTTCTCAAAAAATGTTATCAGAGGTTATTTGTAGATGCAGAACCTACGCATAGAGAGGGCCAACTATATATTGCTCCATTCCTATCAATGACTTTATCATTGTTAAGATGGTTTCTCAGAAGTGGTTGTGGTAAAAGCAAATATCCCAGGAAAATGAAAATCAATGTGGAAGAGGGTAAACATGGTAATGTCCAATCTTATATCAGCCTAGGTCATTAAAAAGAAAATACAACTGGCCGGGCTCAGTGGCTCACGCCTGTAATCCCAGCACTTTGGGAGGCTGAGGAAGGTGGATAATGAAGTCAGGAGTTCAAGACCAGCCTGGCCAACATGGTGAAACCCCATCACTACTAAAACAAAACAAAAATTAGCCAGGCATGGTGGCAGGCACCTGTAATCCCAGCTAACTCGGGAGGCTGAGGCAGAGAACTGTTTGAACCCAGGAGGTAGAGGTAGCAGTGAGCCAAGACCATGCCACTGCACTGTCTCCCCTTGCCTGGGAGACAGAGTGAGACTCTGTCTCAAAAAGAAAAAAAGAAAGAAACAAAATACAACTTCTTCTTGGCTCACTTTCTCTTGAGACACCCACCCTGGAACCCAGCACCATGCGGTGAGAAAGCCCAGGCCACAAAGAAAGCCACATGTAGGTATTTCTGCTAACACCCTCAGCTAAGGTCTCAGCTGACAGCGGCATCAACTGCCAGACCTATGAGTGAGCAAACTTCAGATGATTCCAGCCTCAGACTACTAAGTCTTCCAACTAAGGCCCCAGATATCATAGAGCACAGACTAGCCTTCCCCACTGTGTTCCAGCCAAATTGCTAACCCACAGAATCTGAGAGCATAATGAGTGAATGTTTTATGCCACTAAGTTTGGGAGGTAGTGTAACCATGGTAACCATATCAATGGGAATTTAATATACGATACAAAGAAAGAAAAGTAGGCTGTGCATGAAGCTATGATGACAGTGCCTCATGAAGCAAAGATCATGACTAATCTAATCCCATGCACCCTGGAGTCCTTGAAGAGCGGGAAGGGGAGGCAAAAATAATTACAAGACACCTTCCAAAAACTCAAAACAAATGCATCTCATTCACCAATCTTTTGATGTAGGACCAAAGCCTCTTTTTGAAACACAGGACCACTGATAAAAGGTTCTAAGACATATCTTTTATATATATCACACCCATCCAGCAATATTTTCAATTTTGGTTTAAGTAGAAAAGTGGACCAAGAAAGTAAGAAAGCTTACAAAGCAATCTAAGGGTAAAATGATTTTGGGGGGAAAATTTTCTGTTGATCAAAAAAGTATCATTCAACTCAATTTCTGACAATAGGGTCATAGTAGGGAGAAGGTCAGCAGAAAGACATATGAATAAAGATCTCTGTGACATGAATCAGTTTAAGGAAAAGTGCTGTGCTTTGATGTGCATATATGCAAACATCTCCATAAACATTTTCAGTGCATAAAGAACAGCATTGCCACTAGCACGTCCCAACTCCAGCCCTAAGGTGGTTTTCTCCTATCTCAAGTAATTATTAGAGTCCCTGTGTTTACAAGCTGATATTTATTCTTCATTAATTTAACATCTCCCAAGTACTTGTATTAAAAATATTTTTTGCCAAAAGAAAAAGCTTACTGGAGTTTCAAAAATTAGTTTCAAACTGCCAGGCACAGTGGCTCACGCCTGCAATCCCTGCACTTTGCTTGGAAAAAGCAATTTAAATAAAAACGAGTTTAGGAGGATTTTTATGTAGGTTTCAGTTCTCAGAATAACCAAGTATGTGAGTTTTGCATGTTGTTATTCAAGATTCGGGGGGCAGGCACAAGGTGGTTGGAGCTTGAGCTTCAGGCTAGTAAATTGCTTACTTTAGGCCCCAAAATTAGGTAGGTTTGAAGAAATTAAGGAGGTGTAAAGAGACAGAGTACGGGAAAACACATTCTGTGGAGTAAGAAAGTAAGAAAGCTTACAAAGCAATCTAAAGGTATGATGCTCCTGCGTATGTGTTTCACTCGTGCCTAATTGGAAATAAATTTTTTACATGACCTTTACTGACTCTTTCCAAAGCATTCAACTCACTTTACCATTTCTGTAGTAGTTAGTTAAATTATAATAAAGGGCATGAGGGTTCATAAATAGGTCTGGGAGCCTTAAAAATGTCATTCTTGACAAGTATTTATGTATGTTTGCGTGTGTTATTTACTTCCACACACTTATATATAACTGTTTTGTTTCTAAAGGAGTAGGAGGAGGAGGAAGTATCTATTATGGGTAATGATTATCTAAATTAGCTTACTCTACCACCCAATTATACTTTCCAGAGGTATTTTTGATACCATGTAGAAACCAAGAAGTTCCATTAAAATGTTAAACCATTCTGGGAAACAGAAGCCTATATTATCTGTTTGTTCTGACAAGAGAAGTCAGTGATGGGTATCCTGAAGCCACACACCTCACTACTTGAATTAATGACATCACTGAAATACATCATTATGTATCACTAAAAAAAATACTGCCATTTAACCTACAACACAATGCCAAGATATCACTGATTGCACTTAGAATTAAATGTAATACCCTTTTGACAAGCACAAGTAATTATAATGCTCTGAGGAAGCCAAGAAAGCTGAAAGCACTGACAGTTATTGGTGAAAGGAAGTCATATACAGCAGTTGTAATCAACATGCTAAAACTTTATTCCAAAAAAAAAACCTTTAAAATTGAAAATTTCAAATAAGCAAGTCCTTTACAGACATGAGGCTACCTTCAAATCAAGATGTAAATGACAGTGTTAATTAGCAGCTTAAAGAGGCAGTTAAATGGCAGTTAATAACACCGATAAATATGTAAGAGTGTGGAATTCTCAATGAGATCACTTCCTCTTTTCCTTTCACTGGACTGTGTACAGATATCCTCTTGTTATTTAAATATAATACAATCACAGCGTTTGTGAAACGCTGTCTCTACTAAAAATACAAAAAAGTAGCCAGGCGTGGCGGTATGCGCCTGTAGTCCCAGCTACTCGGGAGGCTGAGGCAGGAGAATGGCGTGAACCCCGGAGGCGGAGCTTGCAGTGAGTGGAGATGGCACCACTGCACTCCAGCCTGGGTGACAGAGCAAGACTCTGTCTCAAAAAAACAAAAAAATTAGTTTCAAACAACATTCAAATTACAATTAAATTTACCTCTTCTTTGGAGCATGTTCTGCAGCTCTTTGAGGCCCGCCAGTTGTAGCTTTTAAGTGGACTTCTGCTGGGTGGCTTTGTTGTTTGTACATTTACTGTGCTCAATTCAACTTTCGAGCCCTTAATAAAGCCTAACAAGTCTTTTTTCCTGTTTTCCTTTACACTGTCTTGGTTCTCTGAAGTCTCCTTGGAAGTCTCAACAGTCCAGACTGCTCAACTTCCTTGCTACAGATTGCGCCGTTAGTGCCAAAATATCTTTGGATATTATTTTTTGTCCTGGAAAGATGCGTTAAAGAAAAAAAATGAAAAATACAATGCAGGCTAATAAAGCAAAAAAACATGTATCTAAAGTTTTTTTCAATTCAAGCCCTTTCCATTTGTTTGTATAATTATTGTTAAAAACCGTAACAGCACCAACTTACCATTTATTAGCATACACTACATGCCTCACCTTGTGCAATATGTTTTATGTACATTTCTCACACCCACATTAACTCCCTAAGGTCTCCATTTTGCAGATAAGGAAACTGAAAATCAGGGATGTAACTAACCCAAGGTCATGCACCTCACAGCTCACTAAAGCCTAAGACACGCTGGCGTACCACAAATAAGTAGAGGTGTGCTAAGATATTGATCACCTGCTCCTTGGGGTGGCCAGGGGACACCTGGGGGTGCTGGTGCTCCCAAATCTGTTCCTTCCATTTACCTCAGAGTTTGGTAGAAAAACTCTGACATGATTAATAAGTGACAATTTATTATTCTCAAACCCAGATCTGACTGACTGCAAGTCCTTGCTCTTAACATGATATAATACCTCTTTAAAAAGTTATAATTAAACAATACAAAAATAAATTTCTATCAAAAAGATTACTTTAAAAAAACTGAGTGGGTCTTATTTTAATCTGATCAACATTCTCATCGAGCTACATGCCACTTAACCCATAACCACTTGTAAGCTAAGCTAAAATGGAACAGAAAAGAGAATAATTGAAGGCTAGAAATGTCATTTTTGCTTTCTTCATTAGATACATTTATGAAAAAGAACACTACAAATGATTACATCTATATCAGACTCATGCAAAAGATGTCCTAAGTAACCCAAATATCCAATTTTATTCTGTGGGGTTAAAAACCTCTTTTGGCATTTGATTACTGAAGAACTTTAAAAACTCTGAATGTGTTAGTTTCCGTAAGAGGGTATAATATATTTTAAAGATCATTCATTAAATACAGTGAATATCTACCCTGTGCTGGGCATTATATATTAGTAAATAAGAATTTCATGGTCCCTACTTTTATGAAGCTGATATGCTACAAGACTGCTTCTCAAACTTTAATATGAATAGAAATTATTATTTTTTTTGAGATAGGGTCTCGCTCTGTCACACAGGCTAGAGTGCAGTGGCATGATGTTGGCTCACTGCAGCCTCGACCTCCCCGGGCTCTGGTGATCCTCCCATTTCAGCCTCCTGAGTAGTTCGAACTAACTTTTTGTAGAGATGAGTTTTCCCATGTTGCCCAGGAACTCCTGGGATCCCACCACCTAGACCTTCCACTGCCCTCCTAAGCCTCCCTAAGTGCTAGTGTTACAGGCATGGGCCACTGTGCCTGGCCCATAGAAATTATCTATGCTCCTTGCTAAAATACAGATTCTTTGGTCAGGAGTTGGAGACCAGCCTGACCAACATGGAGAAACCCCGTCTCTACTAAAAATACAAAATTAGCTGGGGCATGCCTGTAATCTCAGGTATTCTGGAGGCTGAGGCAGGAGAATCACTTGAACCCGGGAGGTGGAGACTGTGGTGAGCCGAGATCGTGCCATTGCACTCCGTGTCTGGGCAACAAGAGCGAAACCCCATCTTAAAAAAAGAAAATAAATAAATAGTTAATATTAAAGGTATTCTATCAAAAAAGTGGCAATCAGGGGAATGAATCTCATATAATCTTTACTACAATGTTTTCTTTCAAGACTGCTATCATACCACAGAAAGCAATCTACATTACAGGAAAATCATGTATTATACAACTCCGTAACACTAATATAATAAAATTCTAAACCTACCCTCCCACCTGAGTTTGTTTCCACTCACAGCATTTCATCAGTACTTCAAATGCAACACCTTCAAAACGACATTCAAGACGTCCCCTTTCAGACTGACTTTCCATTTTTCACACTTCTATATTAAAATGCCCCCTGACATAAACAGATATTTTTTTGTTTTCCAAAAACTATAACATATGTAAAAATCTTTCTCAACCCCGGCTCTGCATTCTTCTGCTAAGATTAAGGATACCCTAATCCTCCAAAGCAGCCAGCTGAAATCTTTGCTCTCTGTGACCACCCTACCATTATCCCATGATGTCACATCCCCTTAATTCTACCTCTGCAATTTTTCTCCTCCATTCAGTTGGTCCGTCCCGTCTTCACGGCTACTAACCTGCTTCAACACTGTACTTAACCAAACTGGCTTCTGAGTGTTATGCATGGAATTTATACAGTGGAATTAGGCTTTCATAACAATAAAGTACTCGGAGGATACATAGCAAAACCAAGTATGCCGCAACACCTTTTCTTTCCTGGCTAACTTCAACCAGTGGTCCTTCAGATTTCATCAGATTTTTCTTCCAGAAAGGATATCCTGAGACGTCCCTGCGATGGTTAGGTGTCCCTATTTGCTCCGCCAGCAATTACTTGTTGGATGAATAGTGTACTCTGTGCTTCCGTACACTATCAGCAATTACTTCACTACACAGCCCTTGAGGTGTCTACTTGCTGGAACTACACGCTCCGTGATGGCAAGGCTCTTACTTGGGGTTTATAATCAGTACTGGCACGCTGTAAAGTTTTTCAGTAATGAACTAAAGAATGAAGGAAACAGAAACGCGACTATTAAATAAATATTGGGAGGCAAAAGATAAAACAACTTCGCTTTTGGAGCTTGAATAAACTGACAGGAGTTGATGACAAGATGAATGAGGCACAGCGACCAGGCTTGTAATCGGAGCTGTTTTCCACGCACGCTATGACCTTGGGCAAGTCATCTTATCTTTCCGGGAATTTCCTTTTCACAGATTTAAAGCAATGGCTTCTAAAACCCAGAAGGTAATAACACTGTTCCCAGGAAGTCGGAGGATAACTGCATGTACAGGACGGGGCACTGGAATGCCCGAGGACCTGCGGGGCCAAGAGCGCTAAACTGCGGTACCTGACCGTTCCATGCCGAGCAGCGAGTAGCAAAATTGCAGCCGCTGATGTCTCCGGACTTCCAGTGGACAAAGGGTGGCAGGAAAGGGGACGAAGAGGTAGAAACGCCGAGACCGTAGGAAACGCCGCCGACACACAGTCAACCAAGAGCGCAATTGAAACACTGCGTTCCCATGCCAAAAACATCCCCTGCGCTCTCTTCCGTTTCCGGTCCGGCGCGTTCCTCACCCTTTGCGTTCCGGTGGGCAACAGGGGCAGGTAACTGTGTTCCGGACTCGCCCGCGGCCGGGTGGAGCCAGCTACCTCCAGGCGACCCCACCCATCCGGCGATTCTGTTCCTAGAGGTGTTCCTCGCCAGTGTTCAGAGGATCCCTGACCGCCGAACGAGATAGTGGAGGGCGTGATTAGTAGTGCGAAAACTACAGATGATCAGTCTGTTTTTATGCTTGCTTTTTTTTTTTTTCTAAGACGAGTCTCCCTCTGTTGCCCAGGCAGTGGCGCGATCTCAGCTCACTGCAACCTCCGCCTCGCGGGTTCAAGCCATTCTCCTGCCTCAGCCTCCTGAGTAGCTAGGATTACAGGCGTGCGCCACCACGCCCGGCTGTTTTTTTTGTTTGTTTGTTTGTTGTACGTTTAGTAGAGACAGGGTTTCACCATGTTGACCCGGCTGGTCTCGAACTCCTGACCTCGTGATCCGCCAGCCTCGGCCTCCCAAAGTGCTGGGATTACAGGCGTGAGCCATTGCGTCCGGTCGATCAGTCTGTTCTTTAACAGCACTACTGTCCATTTGGAGGGAAAGGGTCTACAGCGTTCATCACGTTCTCAAAATGCGCCATGGCCACCAAAGAGGTTTAAAAAAGTTATCATAGGACCTGCTGCCCGATGAAATAGCGTTTCTTTTCCTTCTTTATCCTTGAGGTAGAGTCAAAATAAGACATACGTTTCATTTTTCACAAGTGACTTTAGGCCGGGCGCGGTGGCTGATGCCTGTAATTTCAACACTTTGGAAGGCCGAGGCGAGTGGATCACCTGAGGTCGAGTTCCAGACCAGCCTGGTCAATACGGTGAAATCCCGTCTCTACTAAAAATGCAAAAATTAGCCCGGCGTGGTGGCGCACGCCTGTAAATCCAGCTACTCAGGAAGCTGAGACTTGGACCGATTCCCCGCGGGCGCGCGGGAGTTGGGCAGGCAGAGGCGGGTTCAGGGAACAGGCTGGGCGGGAGCGTGGGAAAAAGCTGACGCGCTCTCCTGGGTTCCCACTTAGGGAACTTAAAGGAGAGTTTTAATTTGTCCTCCCTGCAGTTAGGGAGCGCGTACGCGTGTGCTGCCCGAGCAGCCCGCGGTGTAGTGAGCCTCGCCGCTGCCGCTGCCGCTGCCCCCTTAGGGCCACTCAGAGGGTGAGTGGGAGGTGACCCCGGTCACCCTTTCCCGCCCCTCTGTGTCCTGCTGCGGTGGGGAAGGCAGAAGACGCGAGGCAGGCCCGTGGTACATGGTACTCCCGGCTTAACCGCATCCTGCGTTGGCTCCAGGGGCTGGCCAGGCTTTCGTGTCGCAGGTTCCCGCAAAGTGCAGGATTCAGATCTTTTTAATAGTGAGGAGTTGCCTCCGTGCAAGATTAGGGTGTTGTATTACTCTTGTTAATGGAGCTTGTGCTGTCGACCTGTGAGATCTCAAAGTTAAGTTTTAATTTGATCATGAACATACACAAAGCAAAGTCTTATGGATATTAAAGAATTATTTATATATTCTAATTTTCATCATAGTTTTAAAATCTTCATAGAATCTGTTATCAGTGAGGGACTTTAACAAGGAATTTGAAAAGGAAACCAATACAATCATTGGATTTGGGTTCAGTCTTTAAAAATAAATTTGCAAAAAATTCATTCTACACCTATTTTTATGAAAGTATTTTTCCCCTAAGGTCTAGGGACTCCTATTTGGAAATAGAATTTTTATTAAACGCCTGTGCAGGCTAGGCGTGGTGGTTCAGGCTTTTAGTCCTAGCACTTTGGGAGGCCAAGGTGGGCGGTTCACTTGAGGCCAGAAGCTGGAGACCAACCAGCCTGGGCAACATGGTGAAACCTCATCTCTGCTAAAAATACAAAAATTAGCCGAGCGTGGTGGTGCACGACCGACCGTAGTAGTCCCAGCTACTCGGGAGGCTGAGGCAGGAGCTAATCTCTGGAACCCGGGAGGTGGAGGTTGCAGTCAGCTAAGATCGTGCCACTGCACTCCAGCCTGGGAGACAGAGCAAAACAACGTCTCAAAGAGAGAGGAAAAAAAAAAAAAAAGATAAAAAGATGCAAGAGAGAGACTTGGCTTTTACCTGTCCTTCATGAAAAAGGGAACTGTGACCCAGAAAAGATGTAGAGATGTGGGGTTCCCAAACCTGGAAGGGCATGAGAATAAACCCGGCAGGAAACTTTGGCTAATGGGGCACATGGGAACCACTAGCCTAAAATTCCATAAAGGCATTCCAAAGTTCACATCGACATTTTCTCCATCCTGGCAAAAATAATCAAGATGGGGAGGTGAGCTTTTGTGAGGCTGAAAACACAGCTTACTTTGAGCAGATCTTCCTAAGATCCACTCACGCTAATGGAACCTTTGTGACTGAATGCTATACACAGTACCCTTGGGGATGCTTACTTTGTTTTATTTGTAAAAAAACAAACTTTTTTTTTTTTTTAAATGAAGTATAACTTCGTCAAAAGACAAAATTATGGTAATTTTAGTTTAATTGGTTTTTATTTGTGATTATAGAATAGGGCAACATCTCCTTCTCTATAAAGTAGAATGAGTGTTCCAGTGAGTTGAGCAGAAGTGTTTGGCTTTATAGGCACAAAAGGACTGAAGAAAATAGAAGGAACAAAAATCAGATTGGTCATTTCAAAGTTACCTTCCTTATAGGGTTAAAACAGAGAGGATTTCCTTGTCATGCTGGCTCAGGTAAACTAGGCCCCCTCTGATTGGTGCTGCAAGTCTCCTGCTTTTGGAAAACTGGCCCTGATTTCAAAGTACAATTTGATTACTTGGCACTTAACACAAGTGACTATTCTGGTTTGGTCTGGTGTACTGGGGGCTAGTACAGAAAGCTTGTCCAAAACTGTGGCCTCCTACAAACTTTAGCATCTTCAATACGGAAAAGTGCCTGAATCTTAAGTATGTTGATGAAAAAAAATTTTTTTTGAGATGGTGTCTCGCTCTGTCACCCAGGCTGGAGTGCAGTGGTGTGATCTCACCTCACTGCAACCTACACATCCTGGGTTCAACCGATCCTCCTGCCTCAGCCTCCCAAGTAGCTAGGACTGCAGGCATGCACCACCACACCAGGCTCATTTTTGTATTTTTAGTAGAGACGAGGTTTTGCCATGTTGGCCAGGCTGGTCTCAAACTCCATCTCAGGTGATCTGCCTGCCTCGGCCCCCCAAAGTGCTGGGATTACAGGCGTGAGCCATCACATCCAGCCAAAAATGTGTTAAAGGAATGATCACAGAGTTAATTCACCCATGTAAACCTCCATCTGGATCAAGAAATAGACTATTAGCAGTAAGGCATACTTTTCTTGATACCATTTGAATACCCAGTGGAAAATCCATTCTTGAATATAATAAGCAGTCCATCCAAATCACATTTAATAGTTACTTCATCTTTTTTCAATTTCTTATAATGGTCTTCAAATGGGTTTTTTAAAACCCAAAAAACTCTTGACAAAGGAGATAGAAACTTCCATCTCAATTTCACAGTTTTTCTAGGGGAAGATCTTGTCCCAGTTATCCTGTTCTTAATCTACTCTAAGGCAGTGCAGATACAGTAAATTACCTCCCTGATGCAAGAGAGCAGATAGGCTGAGACTATGTGAAAGCGCCTGGCTAAGGGTCACAAGCGGGAATTGAAATTTAGCCTTCTCTACCAATTGGTTCCTTCAATTTTACTTTCTTACAAAAGAGGCTTTCTTTGATTACCCTGGTTAAAGTAGTCTCCCGCCCCATCTAGTCACACTCTCTGGCAGGGATTGCTGTTGTCCACTTATATCCATTCTCTTTTGGAGTTTTATCGAAACACATGGCCACAGAGGTAGAGACTATATTGCCCAGCATCCCTTGCAGAAAAATGTATCATGGACCGGAAGTTCTAATCAATAGACTCTGAACAGAAGTGATGTGCCCTTAAAAAAATGGGCTCATATTCCCCACAAACGTTTTCTCCTTTCTGCTAACTGGAATACAGACCAGATGATAGGAGTTGAAGCAACTAGACAACCGAAACATGAAGTTTACAGAGATGAGAGTGACAAAGGCATTCTACATGTGTCTTTCACCACCTCCTCCAGAGAGTTACAGAGGAAAGAGGAGGAATCCACTTCCATCTTGTTTAAATGTATCTGTGAGTCTCTTTGTTACAAGTAGCCTAGGCTGTACCTTAACCAATGTATCCTGTATGTCAAAACATTGTTTCATTATACAGAGTATTTTCAATGATCTGCAATTATCTCATATATTTATGTGCTAAAATGCTTATTATGTACCTTGCCATGATAGAGTATGTCCTTCATGAAGGCATGGACTTTGTCTTATTAGCTGCTGCAATCTTACTTCTTAGAACTGTAGCTAGATTTAACAATGGTCCTCAAAAAATATTTGGCGAATAAATTAACTGTTTCCAAGTCAAAAGGAAGAAACAGGTGCAGAGAGGTCTTAAGTAATTTGCCCAACTTCATAAAGCTAGTAAGTGGCAGAACCACATTCAAACTCAAGTTCATCTGACTCTGATATTCTCATTAATTCTGGAATAGCTGAGGATCTCTTACTTTAGTCATGTGAAAAAGTCACATGGGGGTGTTTGTTAACATACATTACTGAGTAGTAGCTCAGACACACTGACTCAGTGGATCTCCATCTGAGAATCTAACAAGAACTCCAGGTGATTC